TTGTTTGCCTTCAAGCCTTTAAGACCCCAGACGCTATATATTTTGATAGCTGGGCACCATCAGCTTTCTTCACCACATTTGCTTATGCACACGTCTGTCTTCAGCGATCATGTCGGGAAGGTGGGTATCATGAAATGACTGTTTAGCTGGGCAGGGTGCTCTTATATTAAGGGAATGCACACGAGGAGGCCCAATGTCCACCTGCCACCTTACTACTAAACCTATAAATATATGCACCTAGGCCCATTTCCCCCATAATCTTAAATATATTTACCTGGGCCCACCAAGCTCAGAGGATGATAGCCTGGCTCGGAGGGCCCAATGTACAGAGAGGACCATATAGCCAGCCCCACGGTGAGATTGCGACATCCTGCACTGACCCATGGCCCTACATGGGACAGCATTGGAGACACAGTGTGGGATGTGCAACTGAGCTGACCCCACCAAACTGAGGCAAAACACTGGGGACATGCAATGGAGCGGCGGGGGAAGCAGAGCAAGGAGGTCCCGAGGGAGTACAAAGGATGGACTTTGGGGCCAGGATGTGGCACCCCATCAGACTGTCCGGAAAACACTCCTAAAGGTCAACAAACAGACCTTGAACTACTAACAGGCTTTTTTCTCTCTCTCTTTTTTTCTGCCTATTTGTTTGTTTTTTTCTTTTTTTCTCTTGTTTTAAATTTTGTAAGTCAGTGGCTTTTTTGTTTGTTAGCTTGTCTGTGCTGCTGCCGTCATTGCCATGTCCTTATGTGCCACTTTGGTGCTATGCTATCAAAGCCATCCTCAATTTTATGCACATATTAATATATCTGCAGGTCCACCTAGATAAGAGAGGCTGGACAAATAATGTGAGAAGAAAACAAAGGGACCAACTGCCCCGGAGGGACATGGGAATGTGGGAGGTAGGGGAAGGGAGGAGGGTTGGCCAACCTAGGGACAAGGGAACAACGAGTGGTTCAAAACCAATGGCAGGGAGGGGATGGGAGGACTGGTAGGGAGTGACCAAGGGCAAGGTAACTGAGAGGAATTACTGAAACCAGAATGAAGGCTGAACATGGTAGTGGGACAGGAGGAAAACATAATGAAATAGAGGAAAGGAGTAGGAGGCAAAGGGCATACATAGAAGCCTAAATACAGACACTGTTGCATTCTTAACCTCATTAGTCACAGGCCCTGCTGACAAGAAAAGGCAATTCTTATGTTATTTTCTCTTTAGAATTTATGGTATAGTATAATTTATAGTATAATAGTACTTTGAAATGGATGTTGTGTTAATGGATGTAAATGGATATGGCTACTTTGTACACATTCTAATTCGAGGGAGATGTCTTCTGGAATTGGCTGTGGAGTGGATTCCACCTCGTGGGACCCAATATGACAGAGCTGCCCACTGGGCTTCCTACCCTGTCATCTTTACAGGAGCAGACTGTAGGTCTTATGTGCAGAGCCACTGGGTGGGCTCCAACTGCCCATCTTTCCCTTTGCAGCGGAATGTCCAACCATTGTGCCACTCGGACTACTTTTCCACCCTTGGTGCAGACTCTCATTTTTTGTTTTGTTGGACTTTTCCCTGCAGACCAGGGTGATTCTTTGCTTTTCGTTTTCTGCCTCTATGATCACCGGCCGGCCATTGCTTTCTAATCCCACTGTAGCACATGCTAGCTAGTGGACAAAACGAGAAGGCAAATGCCAGGCTGGGGTTCGATTTCTAAAAAGCACTAGTACTAAAAGGGGAGCTGAGCCCAGCGATAAGCTTTGAGGCCCTATTCACAGAGTTTTAATTGAAAAACAGACCCGCAATAAAAAGAATAAGGAACAGGAGTAAAAATTTAATCAGCCTTTACCCATTTATGATCTGTTACCACCTTTATGCATGGCATTGGCCATTCCTTACTTTAAGTGCCTTGTATTCATGCCTGCCTCTTTTCTCTCAGTTTACTAGCCTGGTGACCACATTATGTTTCTCTTCAACATCTACTGGCATTTCTATGGTAAGGGTTATCAAGGTGTTTTGCTCTATGAGTGGCAGAGCCTGGGCCACCACCTCGAGGAACACTGTGGTGACTACTCTGGGGTGTTAACCTGGGGTGTTAACCCTTGCACGATCATGGCTTCCCATTCATTTGGGGTTTATTGCTTACTTAGATGTATGCAGGATGATCTTGATAAGTTGGCTCAGCATTAAAGATAGTAAGTTTCTGGCAACATCAAAGTACATATTCATATTTGCTACTTAATAAGCCTTAGGAATGAGAGTCATGCATCCTTTGTTGTAACCTCAGATGCACAGCATCATCAATTCTGGCTCAGAGCAACCCCACCCTGGTCGATTTCCAAGACTGTCGATCTTTCTGGGAGTAGAAAGAGTCCCCTTCCTCCTGCAGAGCAGCTGGTGGTTTCAAACTGCTGACCTTGAGATTAGCAGCCCAACTCTTAACCACTACACCACAGGGGCTCTGATTGTTGTACTAGAGACATACAAGGCAGATTCTCAGTCATTTACCTCTCTTTGCTACTCACACGAGTCTTTTGTAAGCAAAGGCCCACTGACTTATTTCCTTAGCCACCTAGAGATTGAATATCCACACTGTTCTATGAATATGGTTACCAGGGGGTGGCAATCCAGTCAGATAAGTACACTTAAGTATATATCTATATCTATCTATTTATCTATCTATCCACTCAAGGTGGTGGCCCAGGCTCTGCCACTCATAGAGGTGATATATATATTTAAAAAA